ATATATATATATATATAAACATCAAATTAAAAATTAAAGTTTTAGTAATGTATCTTTCACAGTTATAACGATGTTTAGTATGTATCGGCAATTTGACAGGTTGATTACCAAGCGATTTAATAATATATCTGCAACTTCACAGTCATAGCGCACGCACGCACGCAAAATGAGATTCAATTCCGATCCGTCAAACTCTATGCAGTTCATAATGGGATGAATTACAACCATAACTTGAGCGTATAACCTTAAATTTGGAATAACTCAGTGAAAAATGATCGTATTAAACTCAGTAAAAAAGCATTTTAAAGATAAAATTCCATGTACTTTCATGTACATTTTGTCCCATAGGCTGTCATACCTGATTTACGCCATGCATCGTCATCACTTTCGATTATCAACTTTTCATCTTCTCACTTTGTCATCTAACATTTTGATAATAATGGCCGAGTATAAATCTCATTCAAATATTCTTAAACTGGACAATTTAAGCTTCATTTTGCATTTTTAAACATATTTTTATCTTTATTATTTATTAAGTTATGATCATTTGAAATTTGATAAATTTTTCCTAATTTTTCAATGTACCGTTTTTTTGCGGGTGAATGTATATTAACATAAATACATTTTATATTTAAATTGAGCGGTTTGAGATGTGGTATATTAGCGAGATATACCTTGACATGTGCTATTGTAACGGGATTTGGGATATTGCTTGCAGATCTCGTTATCGCTTATAAAGTAAAAGCTTTGATTTCGTTTAATCATTTTCCTCGCTTCTCTTTGTTGGGAGTGGGTAACAATCTGCGTAAGGAGTAAGTACTCCTGCTCGTCTTATTTGATTCGAGAGCTCCGGCTAGCATCAACGTGTAAAGCTAATAAAGACTATCATTCTCTGCTCATCTGATTAGTGTAATTTAATTATATTCCTCTGAATTTTCCTTCGATAAGGAGAGACACAACAAAAAAAATGCCGGAACACTACTTAAAATGTTATACATATATTTCTTTCTTATTTTTAATGTAAAAAATATGGAAATATAAAATTGCTTACTGATTGCGTTTCATACAGCGGTATTTATTATTTCATAAAAGAGACTTTATGTTAACACTTTTAATACTATATCAGTGCACTGTTCGCCTTGATAAAGTAAACAACAAGGTTCACGAAAGGTTAGCATTAGCAATGAATCGTGACACGGCGATAACTCGTAAACCATTTTGATACCTCTAAATATTTTATGTTTTGAGATCCTTTCCTTATTAAGATCCTTTCATGTTTAACGAAAATTTTCACATTCTATAACTAACGCAATTTATTCACCTTTACCATAATAAATAACTTTCTATTTCATTGATGTAGAATTATATCATATTGTACAGTATATTGTCCAAGAAAAATAAAAAGTTATTATAATATCAAAATAGCAGCAAATAACTCCGAAATAAATGTTAAACAATTTCTTTTCGATCATTTACAATTCAATTAAATATAAATAAAAATTTTAACGTTATCCGTGACCTGTCATCCTACTCACTTAGGTGATCGTAACTTTATACATTATTCATATATGAATAATTAAAATCCCCCTTATTTCCGAAACATAAAACATCGCTTCCACAGGGGTCAATCAAACTAATGATACGATTTATTTAAAATAAAAAATATAAAATAGATTCCAGAAATTTATTTAAATCATAAAATGAGAAAAACGTATTTTAACACTTCGTGGTCACCGTGAGTCAAAATGATACAAGCATCATCTTTCACACTATATTTTAAAATCCTGGCTTCAGAAAGACGCGTATCTTTTGTTTGATACTTTCCTTGTATTGTAAAAAACAAGCGAATTATTTACCTATTTTAAATGCCTCACCCTATATATCATGTATATATACTACATAGGTATAATATCTATATGGTATATATTTTCAATTTGATATGTATATATATTACTATTACTATTATTAATACTGAAGACAAATATAAATGAAAACCGTAAAATACAAAAAATATATAGAAAACATTACTCTTCGCCACCACAATCGGTAAATGGAGTCTGTGTTTATCACACATGGGTCGGTAGGCATGACCATCTACTGGAGGTTTGAAGCTTCAACTGTCGATAGAGATGCCTAACTTTTTAATCGGGCCGTTAGTATGCGTCTAACAGCTAGTCGCACAAAAAGCGTTTTTTTTTTTGTCAAAATGTCAGTATGAGTGACCAACGCATCGTTTTCGTTAACAAAATTTATGATTTATATTTTTGTATTAAATTACAAAAATAAGCAAAATTTGGATTGTGTCCTTCAAGTGAAAATAAGAAAACGAAGAGGGAAGAACGTCCGTCATGCCTACCGACCAATGTGTGATAAACACAGACTCCATTTACCGATTGTGGTGGCGAAGAGTAATGTTTTCTATATATTTTTTGTATTTTACGGTTTTCATTTATATTTGTCTTCAGTATTAATAATAGTAATAGTAATATATATACATATCAAATTGAAAATATATACCATATAGATATTATACCTATGTAGTATATATACATGATATATAGGGTGAGGCATTTAAAATAGGTAAATAATTCGCTTGTTTTTTACAATACAAGGAAAGTATCAAACAAAAGTTGCATGGTTTCAAGGGAAATGTATTTTGGTCATGTTATCTTTCTTTTAGATGAAGGCGCTAAAAAGATATGAAGGTCACTTCTATTTTTTTGAACGGAATGTATGATTTTTTTTACAGAATATGGTCCCTCTAATTATTATCTATATAAAAGTATTAAGTATATAAGCATATAAAAGTATTAAGATAGTGATATAAAAAACTAATAGTTTAAGAGATAATTTATATATTATTCTGTCATGTGGGAATAAAATTAAATATCTCGTAAACAAATAATTGTTTAACAATCGTATCGTAATACTTTTATGAACAGAATAATGAAACGAATCAAGTGGTCAGAAAAAAAACACATAGCTGCTTTAAAAAAATATGTACGCAAAATGGATAATTTTTATGTAAAATTTTTTACATACAAGTATTAAAGTACGATTATTAAAAAATTGATAGTTTACGAGCTACTTAATATTTTAAGCCAACATGTCACCGAATAAAATATAAAATATCTCATAAATTATTGGTTTTTTTATATGCAAAATAATTAGAAGAATTTTGAACGAAGAATATTGTATAAAAAAGATCATACAATTCCGTTTAAAAAAATGGAGGTGATCTTTATATCTTCTTAATGTCTCTATCTAGAAGAAATACAACATGACCAAAATACGTTTCCCATGAAACCATGCAACTT